TATATATATATATATGCGATTATTTTAATAATCACGAACATATTTAAGTAACGATTTGCTTATTTACCTTTATTAATGCTCTGGCAATGGCGACTCTTTGACGTTGCCCACCACTAAGGGCAATACCTCTTTCCCCGACTATTGTATCTAATCCATCAGTCATTTTTTCTGCAAACTGTAATACATGCGCCTGTCTTGCAGCCTCTTCTACATCAAAATCTGTTGCAGATTCCATTCCATACAATATATTATCCCTTATTGAGCAACTGAAAAGAACTGGCTCCTGGGATACAATGCTAATCTGAGACTTTATCCATGTGGGATCAAGCAGACGAAGATCGTGGTTATCCAAGAATATCGATCCTTTGGTAGGGTCATATAATCTCAGTAAAAGTGACGCTACAGTAGATTTACCGGAACCCGAGGAACCAACAATAGCTGTCATAGAACATTTTTCTATATTTAAATTAAAACCTTTCAACACGGGCATCTTTTCTCGCGTAGGATATGCGAAAAAAACATTTTGGAACGTCACATTGCCTGATAATTCTTTTCCTAAAATTTGTCCACCTTGAATGGGAATAAGTGGTTGTCGATCGATTAACTCAAACAGACGAGCGTTAGCACCTAGAGCCTTATTTAATTCGCTATATGCCTTGGATAATCCATTGAGAGAGATGCCCACGTAGCCGGCATATAACAAAAAGGCGCTTAAGCTTCCAATTGTTATATCGGCATTTGATACCATAAATACTCCATTGTAAAGAACTGAAAGAGCAATAACGTTCCCAGAGAGACCAGTCATACCAAAAAACATTCCTCTATACAAACTTTCCTTGTAACATAGTTTTAGAACGTCTAGTAATTTAGCGCTATATCTGTCAATCTCGCGTTTTTCTTGCGCAAACGCCTTAACAGTTCTTATATTGCCAATTCTTTCTTCTGCAGTTGCATTGACCACTGCAATACTGCTTTGGAGATCCTTGGAGACTCTTTTTAAAATGCGTCCCCAAATACCAGCAATAACTGCGACAGGTGGTACTATAGCTAAACCAAGTAAAGCTAATGATGGTGATACATAAAACATCATGGATACTCCTGTTATGGCCATAATAGCGGATCGCAAACCGTCTGATACATTGGACGTGACGGCGGAGCTAATAAGTTGTGTATCTCCTGAAAAATAAGATAATTAAATAAAAAAGATTTCAATGCGTGGTATTCAATTGTTGTATAAAATGTACCGCTCAATCTTCCGACTAGTTCTCCTGTACTTTCTCTATCAAACATTGCAGTTTCTTGCTGAAGGATCGCGGCATACGCCTGTTTCCTAAGAGACTGCGTAATTCGATGTCCCGCTGTAGACATCAGGTAAATTCTGCCAAAGTTGCTTATACCGCCTATGAGAAAAACTACAAACAGAGCAAGCGTTAGCCGATTAAGACCCTCTTTCATGTCAGTTTTTTCCACGGTATTGACAACATCTATCACTTTTCCAAAGCAGAACGGGACTGCCATCGTTACGCTGGACGACACGAGCAACAAAGCAATGGCCTTCATTAGGGTCCACTTCTCAGGCGCGGCCAGTAAAATTAAAGTCCTCAACTCTGAGCGTCTCTTCGTCTTAACTGCGTGTACTACAGGCATTGATGTGTCGGATCGGATAGCATTGGTCGTGCAGTGTCTCAGTCCGATGAACACACGACCTTTCCTTGAGAATTTGACAACCTGCCTTGTCAGGCAGGAGCTGAACAAGTACTTCTGTGATCCGCCGACCCCACAGCATCCTGGTTTTCGTAGAACACCAGGATTAGTCAACAATTTCCAAAGAATCGTCATGTTATATGCGGTCCAATTGTCGCGATGTGTGACATGCGAAAATTCAATAAAAAAACAGAACAATTCAGTCTTGCAAAGGTTAGCCTTCGCTCCGAGCTAACCTAAACAGTATCGGTCAAAGTTTCATAGGAATATCGTAATTATGCAGTAAGCGTACTTTGGACGAGTACGATTAACATAATAAAAGATAGTCTAGCAGTATTACGTCAACTCCTGATTATTTTTTTGATTTTTTTGATCAAATTACAATAATTTTTAGCTCTTCACTCTCATACGTGCAGATTACGACAAATTCATTGTTGAATCACGTTGGGACATGTGTTTTCTTCGAATCTTCTCTTCTTTTGTCACAAGGAAACGAATAGTCAAAATTTTGGAAAGAGCTTCCGCATTCTTTAAAATTACTTATATACTATTATATCGCTATGCTTTCTCTTTTATTATCAATTATACAGCAAGCGTTGAACACACTGAACAGTGTTGAATTTGAACCATGGACAACACCATGGTTGAAGAAGACATCTGTTTGCGTTAATTGCACTTTTTACACTCAGCTTATTCGCTTTCTATTTCTTCAACACTGGAATATATACAAAATATACAAGCAACAGATATATTGAAATTTATGTGATACTCCATATTTTGTAATCAATTAATTGATAGAAGTAAATATATTTTGACTTTAATGTTTTCAGTGAAGTTTACATTCTATATTTCAAATTTAATAATCGATTTTTAAATATTATTAAACCTAAATTTCTGTGTTTTAATTATTAACATTGATATAATATGCAAAATATATAACATATTAATTTTGCGAGAGATAATATAAATATAGTTAAAAAAAATAATATAAAATGAATCTTTTATTATTCAATACGTATATCAATAAAAAAGAGACAGTATCACTGTTATGTTCCTCTCTCTCTCTCTCTCTCTGTCTAAATATATTTATCTCATTTTAAATTGTAAAAGTTTAGGGGATTTTAAGCAATGCGAAAAGCTTCCATTCCGCCATATTGATTTTTAGTTCTTTTCAAACTCGTTCGATGTTCGATACTGTTGGTGATCAAGCGAAAATATCGATTGCCAGAGAACGGGGACAGCCTTCATTCTGATCTACTCTGATCACACTTCAGGATTCAGGATTTGGGATTGGAAATTGGAAGTTGTACGTGTTGGAACACGTTCTTTCCGATTCTTCTGTGCCGTAAACATGGCGCTTAACCTGACTGTCAAAGTGCATCCCGTGGTTTTATTTCAAGTCGTAGATGCGTACGAACGACGAAAAGCAGAATCGTTGCGCGTTATCGGTACCTTACTGGGTAACGTATTGTGCTATAATTCTATTGTCTAGATCGACTTGGATCTACCGTTACTGCATCCAGCTAAAAGAGAGTCGTGATCTCGTTTTTGACGACACGTGTCATTCATTGTTCCAGGTACCGTGGAAAAGGGGATTGTTGAGGTAACCAATTGTTTTTGCGTACCCCACAAGGAATCTGAGAGCCAGGTGGAAGCTGATCTCACCTATGGAATGGACCTGTATGACTTGAATCACCGTGTTAACGCGCAAGAGAATATCGTTGGTTGGTGGGCCACTGGCAACGAGGTTGTCTTAACACTCTTGATTTCAGTCTCTTATTATGTGTTCTTTTTTTATACTGGTTAACTAAACAAAACATGTTGCAGGTCACTACACATTCGTCTGTTATTCATGAATATTATGTACGAGAATGTCATAATCCAGTGCACTTGACTGTTGACACTACATTGACAAATACTACGAGAATGGCAATCAAAGCTTATGTTTGTGTTCCATTGGGTGTACCTAATGGCAAACAGGGTTCCATGTTCACTCCAGTAAAAGTTCAGGTTTGTTGAAATATTAATCCTTAATATACATAATTGGGTTATTTATGTCCTATATTTCTTTTCTTTGAAATATTAAGATTTAGCTAAGTAACAGTGATCTTTAGCTTTTCTTCTGTGGCAAAAAAATACTTAATGTGCAAGAAATTAAAGTGAAAAAAACAAACTTGAAGACAATCTGTATCTTTATATGAAGATTACTTTTAATATTATAAATTTTTTCTATATAGATTAAATGCTATGAGCCAGAAGTAGTAGGACTGCAGTTGTGTTCAAAGACTCAATTGCCATCTCACATACAAGCGTCTGGAATAAAATCTAGCGGAGGAATAGAACCCATGATGGATCTCGCGCAAGTCTCAGAGGCTTGCTCTAAGCTTTCTTTAATGTTGGAACAAGTACTGGCATATGTTGATGACGTTTTAGCAGGGAAACAACTACCAGATAATCAAGTAAATACAGACAAATTTGAAACGTTTGTTTTTATCTGTAAAATGCTTGCTGCTATTTAGCCAATACACAATTATTCTGCTATTTCAGGTAGGCAGAGCTCTTTTGGATATGGTACATTCTGTACCGAAGATGACGAGCGATCAATTTGACGAAATGTTTAACAGTAATGTTAAGGATCTTTTGATGGTTGTTGCATTATCTCAGTTGATAAAAACGCAGTTGCAGCTTAATGAAAAACTTACCTTGCTTACAACTCTATGATTAAAAGCGTTTAATTAACACTGTATAAATATACAATACAGACAAAACATCAATAATAATCCACTCTCCTGATATATTTTGATTACTCTTAATATCATCAATTAATTGGGATTAAACAGTATTTTGTGAAATTGTAATTATAATTAATGAATTATAAAAAGAGTATATCATTAATTGATATAATTATATATGTACAATATGCATTTTATAAATAATTACAATTATAACATGTAATAAGTATACAATTACTTATTTATTTTTTTTATAAATTACTTGGTTAAATCTTATTCATTAATTTATTTATATTTCATAAGAAGTTTCATCCTTTTGATTATCTATAAGATTGGGCCAATCAGGAACTCGATTTGTTTTCAAGTACACATCTTTTGTCAAACATCGTAATGGTAAATCTGTTGTGCCAAAAATAGCACCGCCTAACCATACTGTGTAATTCGGTTTACTAGGTGCTGTATGAAATTTGAATGATTCCACCTTTAATTTAGTTTTATACAGATCGCTTTCAATTAAGGCTAACAATTCCGACTTCAAGCGACTCGTAAAGCCTTTCGTCATAGTTGTTCCTCCGACTAGTATTATATTTTCAGCCAACACTCGCCTTGTATCCAATGGGCACTAATTAAAAAAAAACCAGTTTAACATTAAAAACATATATTTTGTTATGTAACAATTTTAGGTATTCAATTATGTATAAAAGAGCATTACAGATTGACTTTACCTTAATGATGGCATTGAGTATCATAGTAGGCAAAGAAAGATTATCGTTATCCCTTTCCCATAATATTTCAAACGCTTTTTCTCTAATTTCCCCAGGTATTACGATTCTTTTAATACCAGGATATGTGACATCGGGAGGTGGAGTCAAAGCACTTTCGGTTCCTAGCTTTGCAGATCTTTGTAGTGTAGTTACAAAACATGTTCTTACTTTAATATCTTCCACTATCTTTTCTGACAAATCTAGGTCGCTTGTATCTCGAAAGTATTTTCTTAAATTCCTACAAATCATGAGAAGAATATAATTACAAATATTTGTCAAGTAAACTTTGATACAAAAAAAGAAAAAGCACAACTCACTCGTGTATAATCTCTCCACCTAAAGGTAACGCCTGCCAGGCTTTAAGTACCGGTATTCCTTCAAAGATTGGAATCAAAGTTGCTTCCTGATATCCAACGTCTAATACTAAAGCTGTATCAATACCAAGAGTGCTAATTGTGGCTAAGTGACTTGGTAGAAATAGTATAGAACCAACTTCAAAATGTCTAAACATTACTTTTGCAAGGGTATCTCTGAACGAGGTCACTGCCAATGGGGACTCCAAAAGTAATATCCTTGTATCTTTTGGGCTTACCACAACATACCTATGTAACACAAGCCGATTAGTTAGATGGAAATTCTAGGACAAGCATTAATAAATACAAAGAAACTTCTAATCTTACTTAAAAAACAATAGATGGAGAAAGTCTACAAGCAGTTGATACAAATCCTCGACATCTTTATAATCAATGATTCTGCGCATTTTCTTTGATTCCGAGCACCTCACTTCTGTTCGAATAATACCACGTGGAGACACTTCTCCCGCATAGCCAAACCTATGTTGTAACAAACACGCGTATTAACATGTAAATCTTATATCTAATCGAATTGTAAGAGTCAGGAAAATCATTTTCCTTTTCGCAATACTTACTTTGTATACGCGCTACCTATATCAAACACTACCATTTGCTTATCCGAGATATATCTCACGCCCTCGTATCCGCGAAGCATTATCTTTATTGTTTTGTTTGCTCGTACGCACGCGTTTCTCGAATTTTTAACTAATTAATATTCACAATTCGTTTAACAGACGAACAGCTGATAATGCCACAGGACGCAGGGTGACGCAGAGCTGCATTAATGCCGGTGCATCCATGGGGAATGTGAGTAGTAGCAGCCAATGACTGCGTTTAGCAGAGAGTTAGGTGCATTTATTGGTCTATATTTTTAGATCTAATGGAACATGCCAATCAGATGCAAGAGCTCATTGTGCGGTAATAGTAGAGTCCCAATATACTTACTAGTATATATATATACCTATTTATTTTTGACAATTCATTTTATGTAGATGTAACCTTCATAACCTTATTAGTAAACTTCTACGAATAAACACTTTTGAAAGAGAGTATAATTTTATCAAAATTAGAGCTGAGGAAAGGTATTCTTATTAGATATCTTGTCAATTTTCTCTCGATATCTTATGAAACTGTAGCTAAATATTTTCCCTATAAAAAATTCAACATCCAACCATTGAGTTGGATGTTACATTTTAATGATCATTTTATGTTCTAATCATTTCACAGAAGACTACTTGACTGTTTGGGATTTATAATTCAATATTGAAACAATTAAATATTCCAATGCGTTTTAAGCCTCGTTTTTGTGCATATTGCAAACGGAAACGTATACGTCAATCTGGATATTCCTTTTTCAAGTAAGATTTAAAAAATTTAATTAATAAACAAATATAATATATTTTTGTATATTGTAAACTTAGGTTTCCATTGGATAAATCAAAACTTTTAAAGAAGTGGCTTGATAGCATGGGAATCAAGAATTGGACTCCTGACAAAAGCAGTGTTTTATGCTCGGACCATTTTGACCAAACTTGTTTACGCAAGATAGGAGAAAAATATTTCACGTTAAAAGATGGAAGCATTCCAACGATATTTAATAAGGTTGACTGTTTTAACAATATTATTAAGTTAGGTAAAAATCTTTATTTTTATGTTATATATATATATATATTGAATTTCTTTTTAATTATTAAAATACAAATATAAAGTTATATTCTATTTAATTGTATTGACATCAACAGAAGATCCTCTTCATGAAGTAAAGCTTGATCAAAATTTAAAAAAGAATCAGAAGATATATTTTAAGAATAATAAGACTGACTCTCCACAAAAGGCTTCTTGCAATAAATCAATCCAAACTTACTCAGACGGTAACTATTTTTTCATTAGTTTTATTATAGATAGAAGTTTGTGATTTAAGTTTTTCTTAATGGTAAATTTAGTCAATCGAATTATATCAAATTTGTACATATTAAAAGCTATTTTATTTTAAATATTCGAATGCAGCAGCATAATTTAATCAACTTTTACAATGAAATAATACATGTATATTTTGTTGTATAACGTAATAATATCATTATTAGGTATTTAATTGTTTGAAATATTTATATGCATCTATATTAACTTTACTAATTTTATATGTAACAGTATTTAGTATACACTAATCTATTATAAAAATCTTCAGTCCATCATTAATTGGTCATGTGATCAAATTGTTTAAATATAACTTGTTAATTCTTTTTTCATCCGAGACCTTGCACTAATTTATAATATTATATGATAGATACAAATAAGCTTAATGTAAGTGACTGAATTTGCTATAAATCAAAGTATCAGTATTTCTATAGGTCTGTTCGTGTTGCTTAAAATTCCTTAAAATTTTTGTGTTTGAAATGAGCAATATATATTCGAGTTAAAAAGAGAAAGCAAAGATGCCGAGTGCAAAAAGTGCAAACAAACCTCATAAATATAAAAATGTTAATTTCTAAAAAATTATATTTATTATAATAAAACATATATACTATAATAACAAATAAGTTAATAATTAATATGAAAAAATGCTTCATGGAAATTTTTTTGTTTTTTACAGATGAAGATATAGATAGATTAGCAATATCTAATAAAATTGTAGACCTTGATCATCATTACCATATTTCTCCATCAAGACTAATTGACAAGCTTAATAGAAGAGTAGAGCTTAGTAGAGCTTTAAGAAAAAGACGAGAAACATTAAAGAAGAGACAACACAAGATTCAACTTTAAAGACAACAGCTTTGACGTTTTAAAAATTGTATAACGAATTTAAAAGGAACAATAAAGGAATTACAATGCCAACACATGATGAAAAATGTTTGAACTGTATGTCTGTGGTTAGAACGGACAGAATATCCGGATGAGATAAAATATGGAAATGTCTGAATTGAAAACAACTGTGTTATATATTATGGAATATGGAAAAATCGATTGCATAAAGAACATTAACGATTAATTTTGACATATATGTATTATATTTACACACACACATATATATATATATATAATATTGTTTTTCACAATATACATTTATTATGATATATTTATAACGTGTTTTAAATAAAACGTGTTTATTACATGTATTAAATAAGTATTTTTAAAAATATGTATTTTTAACTTATGTATATAATTATAACCTTATTATATATCAGAGTTGGGAATGTTAAAAAATTGCAATTATTTTTTGTAAAAAATAACGTGTTACTATATTACTGTTAACTTGAGAACGGCAAATTGACTGGCTACACATTTCTTGATCCGAATTTGAACCGTGTTCTAATAGCACACCGTGGACACAGGGTTTAAACCTAGATCTATTTAATAAGTTTTTAGTGAATGAATAGTGTTCAACAGAAAAAACAGTTTTGCAACTGTTGTAATTGCCTTTAGTTCTTCATTGGATCTACATGTATAAACCAATCATATTTAAGAATTTTTTACAACAGTTGCAAAGAGAGCTGCTTTTTCGCTGAACACAGCCATAGAATGCATTCAGTATAACAATTGCTTACTGAAGAGCTGAGTGGGCTCTTGTATTTAATTAGCATATTCCGTTTAATCTGAAAATAGACCAAATAGGGGAGAGAGAGAAAGTAGAAAAAATATTAATTTTCTAATCTGTAAGAAACTGTATATTTTGTTGTAATCAATTTTCTGATAAGTTGAAGAATTTTAGAAATAAAAGCGCGCTTTTATCGATAAAAACACGGTCTGAATGACCGAAATCTCAATACTTACAGCAAATTTGATTTGATAGTGTACAATTGTACACTAATTTAATTTGAGTGTAACAATGAAATGCAAATATTTCGAGTCATAAAATACACATTTTACCTAACAGCACAATAATAAAGTGTATTGAGTATTTTTATTTATAATCATCAATGTAATATCTTTATGTTAATTTGTGCACGACAGGCTTTTATAATGTGCACCAGGGAGCACTGAGTGCGTCCAATCGAATTTAGCTAATATTTTTGTTTCTATATTTCTCTTCCATTGTGCGCAGCCCTAATTAACACGCCGCGATCTTCCGCGCCTGTCTGTCGCTGTCCACATTCTCCAAGATGTTCTTTGTGCTCCGATTGGTTCCGATTGCTCAGAAGCTGAAGCGACAGGCAAATATGGCCGTCTGACAAAACATTCCAGGCATAGCAGCGATCGACGACATCGTGTCGCTTTTATTCGGGTATGTTGAAGGGTCACGGAACTACGTTATCTTGACCGAAATTTCTCGTCATACGAGTGACGCAACGACATCGACGTGAACGTGGGATTGGAGAGAGTGCGGGAGGTGCGCGCGGTCGTCCGCGAGGAACTCGATTCTCTAGTTTGTCTATGAGGAAAAAAAAAAGGTAGTAGATATACGCAGACGGGCTAGCTGGCGGTCGCGAGGGTGAACGGATTGCTTCACGGTGACGCGGCGTACGATCGCGAAACGATCGCGAAACCACGCGAAACGATCGCGAACCCATTTGTGACTCATCGCTTCACAACGAGGACGAGATCGAGAGAGAAAGAGAGAGAGAGAAAGAGAGAGAGCGAGAACGAGAGCGAGCGAGAAAGAGAGACAGAGATAGAGATAAAGAAGGAATTGATCGTTCGAGATCATGACAATTTTATCGAAGAAGAAGGCGAATGCGTCGAAGGACAGGACGCGCGAGGGAGGCGCCGGATCCGAGGTCGACGTCCATCACGGGGTCGTGCAGAACGAGCACAGTTCCGGCAGCATTGCGCTCCCGAACAGTCCTTATCAGGTGAGAGACGGAACGCGATTTCCGGACTTTGCTCTGTCTCTCTGCTTAAAAAAAGGAGCAGGTTTTAAAACAGAAGTTTTGCCAACTCGCTGACTAGGTACGGGGCGCCAGCGGCTTTGCCGTCGATCTACATGGAGTCCAAAGCGATCATGGATCTCATAGCGGTTCTCTCGTGTTAACTGGCAACTCGTACGAGGTACGACGTGTACATTATATTATCCCTCCTTTTATTTGGGATAGTTTTGGTATTACATAGATCAATTTGTGCATTGCCAGCAATACCAATTATTGAAAAATTAAATGTTGAAAAAAACATTGATTGTTAATGAATATAGGGACATCAGTAAAAGATTTAACAATGCTTGAATAATATTTACCTGTGTTATATATAATCAGTAATTGTATGATTGGTTATATATACTACTAGGTTTTTATTCTGTAATTCTCAATAACAGCATTAGTACAGTATTATGTAATGATATTATATTACCATTGTGCAACTTTTTTAACTATATAAAATCTATACAATAACAATGTAATAATATCATTATCATGATTAAGTTACAGAATAGAGATTTTAGTAAAAAAAAATTAGGAAAAATAAATATCTTGCTAATATATGATGTTTTTATTACAGACAAACGTTGACCGCCGAGAAGACAAACATTTTGAAGATGGGAGTGGTCCAAGTCATGGTAAACGTCACAGACAGAGAGTCAGTCCCCACAGGTATTTGAAAAAGGCACAAAGGACTAAAAATGGATGTTATAAAATGCACTTGTGTGTTGTAATATAATTTACATAAAATAGGATATGCAGAAGGTATTTTGCACGCTTTTACAGTATAGGTTTATGTTTATATTTAATAAGAGATCTACTAATCTTTTAATAGCTGTATTGGTAGACCTTCACGCACAAAGCGTGAACGAGAGAGGGATAGAGGCAGAGAAAGAGAAAGAGAACGCGAGAGACAAGCTACTCCACCTGCTGCTTCTTGCAATGGTTCACAAGGTAGAAAAGGTTTACTAAGGAATCTTTTTTTAATTTTTACAACAGATCATCAACCAGTAAAATAAAATTATGATGATTTATAAATATGGAATGCAAGATAATAAATTCAATTTATTCAGGCACAGATACTAACGTAAGTGGAAGAGTAAGCATTGGTGGAAATGCCTCAAATTTAGACGAACTGGCAACTGGCTATAACAGTGGAGATGAGTATACAGGACGTACTGAAAATAATCTTACGTTAGCCGAATGGCAGGAGGTAAGTATTGTTAGATCAAATATTTTGTACAAATATGATACATTTAATGTTTGTATCAAATTAGAAATTGGAAGTTGAGACTGAGATTGAGTTTAATCAGTCAGAGCAAAGTTCATTAAACTTGTGATATTGGTTTTCTTTCTTCTAATTCAATTCAGTCTTATTCTCAATCTCTAATCTGGTGTGAACTTAACACATTACGTTCTGTATCCTCAATAATCTAGAGAGATAGATGGTTTGAGAAGCGTCTGAAGAAAAAGGGACTTATATTAAAGAAGATGGCGGAGGACGGAGCTTGTTTATTTAGAGCTGTAGCAGATCAGATTTATGGTGATCAAGAAATGCATGGCATTGTACGAAAACACTGTATGGATTATATTGTAAGTGTGTAACACAGATAGGATAAATACGTTATGTTATTTTAATGCAATCTGGTGAAAAAATTATTTACCTTTCAGGCTTCTAATCAAGAATTTTTCTCGCATTTTGTGGCGGAAGATTTTAGCACCTATGTAGACAGGAAAAGACAAGAATATGTACATGGAAATCATATAGAAATGCAAGCTATGTCAGAAATTTACAATCGTACTATCCAATTATATTGTTATAGCACTGGTGTGTACTTTTTTCATTTATATTGTAAGATTTTTGCATGTTGCTTTTGATCTTGTTATTGAACCTTTTTTTTTTTTTGTAGAACCTATCAATACTTTTCATACTATGGTGGAAAGTGGTGAACCAATGAATGAACCAATCAGGCTGTCGTATCAGCGTGGCAGTCATTATAATAGTATAGTTGACCCATTTAAAGCTACTATAGGTGTTGGACTTGGTTTACCATCATATAATCCTGGTGCCGCTGATCATGCTCTGATATCAGATGCAGTTCGTCAGAGTGAGGAATTGCATATTGAACAGGTAATCGTTATAAGATCATAAATACGGATTTATTTAATTTTATAAATATTTAAAGGATGTTCAAATATTTCTATTTTATGAAAGACAATGCTTGAGGATAAAATAAAGGCTACCGACTGGGAGGCGACTAATGAAGCTATCGAGGAACAAGTAGCTCGTGAAAGCTATTTGCAATGGTTGCGTGATAATGAAATGCGTAAGGCAGTAAGTAAAAGTTTAATGATTATTATACTAATTATTTTTCTATTGGAGCAAAAGAACTCAGTCACGACTTTTGAATTAAGCGATCAGCCAGTAGTAGCAGTACGAGCACAGTTACGAGCGCGCAACATAATCATTCACACTTTCATTCACATGGAGGTCGTGGACAGCAGCGTAGCCATACCTCTTCTCCGACCACGACACAAACTAGCCAAGATAATTTACGTAATTCTCCAAAGGTCCGTTTTGTTTGTTATTTTTGCAACGAAAGTTTGATATTTCAATAAAGAGACGTTTGTTGCGATTATTAGGTCAGCGATGCAGTACGATATAACAAGAGATCGCCGCAACATCAGTCAACTCAGGGATCTAGCATATCCCATCTGCCGTCGGATTTTGAGGCAAAAATGATACCGCAAGAGCCTGTACCGGGAAGCAGCAAGGAAGCAAATGCGTCACCCGATATTTCATTGTTCAATCGCCTTCCTCCTGAAGTATTCGGTGAGAATGTATTCTTAAATGATGTTTATCTATATTTTAAAGAAAGAAAAACGAATCACTATTATTTTTTTATTTTAATATGTAGTACTTTGATATATAAAAATGATTTAATGTATACACATTCACATTTTTTGTTTATAATTAAAATTAAATTAAAATTCAGTTTTAAATATAAATGAAAGAAATACAAAGTTTACTAAAAAAAAAAAAAAACGTTATTTTGTGCTGTATATATATTTTATTTTTTCTTTTAATTATTAATTTAAATTTATAATTTGCTATCTATTTAAAGTAAATATTAATTAAGGAATTTTTCTTCTAGAGAAATTTTACGTTG